AAATTTAAAAAAAATCTAAGTTTAGAGACCAAAATATAAGTAGAAGAAAATATAACGATGAATCTTGTAATTTGCTCTAAAATTAATTTGCTCACAACCATCCCAAATTAAGTTGGAATATCGAATTGATAGAGTTCACAGAGCAGCCGGACTCTCGCATAGATCTCAAGTTAGTCAAGGTTGTTTCCTATATACAACACGCGCGAGAGTAGTTCACGCCGCACAGTCCACTGCCACTGGTTTTCGTCGACTTTCGAGGCTTCGACTTGGAGCTTCTTCACCAAATACTGAAATCCCTGCCCCTTCTTCGGGTAAATAACGTTTCTTTCTTCTTCCATTCTTATTTACCCCTCTAATCCTCCCCTTTGCCCCCCCAAACCCCATTACAACTGCTAAATTCAACATTTGTTTCAATGCAAGCTCTGGTGAAATCAATTCCCCACTGGGTTTCCCATTATCCATGTTTTTCCGGATTCTGTTTTAAAAAGTACCCCTTTTTTCCTACTTCAATGTACTTAAAACTTTTCAATATTTTTCTTGATTTCATTGACATTTTATAGTAAAATGTTTTTTTTCTTTGGAAACACTTGTTTGAAGTCTAAGTTATTTAAAGTTCGAGCTTTTATTTTATTGTTAGAATATCTATTTGAACAATATCAGTTAAATTTCTTTGTTTAACTATCTCAGATTTCGGCTGTTATATTTGTTGAAAGCAAGGCCTTGATGGTTTAACGTTGTTTTTGGGCAACTGAAATGCATTGCTTGAATTCCCCCAAACAACTAAACAGAATGAGCAGTGTAATTGTAAGTTTATATATACATGTTAGCCACATTTTCATTTCAGTAATTGGTTGAAAATGCTTGAAAATTCAAGTGGAATTCTATTCATCTTAAAAAGAAACGAAATAAAACAACAACGGTGTTGTTGGATTGGGTTGTACGGAGAAACCATATAGATGACATTGCCTAGTTTTGTCTGTTTGAAACATCCAACAATCTTGCTTGTAGTATATATACATCTAGGCTTAAACCAATGGAGAAAAGTGGGTATTAGGACTAATTTTACCATGTTCACAGATTGGCAATGGCTATCTTTTATGATGTTATGTACTGTTATTCCAGACACTGGGATTCCAAAATGCTGACCTTTTCATACTTGCCATATTTGAAATATCGAGATTCTGAGGTTTAATTTGATTCAATGACTAACTACATAACTTGAAAAAGGTCCAAATTGTAGTCATCAATGAGATTCATAGGAAACTAGTCTGTTTATAAGAACAATGGAGATAAAAGAGAGTATTAGGAAAAAAATTACCAATGTTTTAAAGATTGGCTTTAATACTTGCCATCTTTAAATATTGAGATTCTTCGTTTAGTTGTTCCAATGGCTAACAACATAACTTGAAAAGGTGCAATTTTTGTTATCAATGAGTTCCATAGGAAACTAATCTTTTCTTGTCTACTTCTTTTGCAATATATTTGCTTATGATTGTAACTTATGTGTGCTTGTTGAACTCCAATTCTTTATAGTTAATTGATATGTATTATTTCATTCACTTTCTTGGTTGTCCATTTTGAGTATTTAAGAAGCAAAGAGAGCCATCAAGGTTGCCCAGCAAAACAGATGCAGAGCTGGATAGGATCAGCAACTTACCGGGACATGTTGTCGATAAAATTTTGTCACGTTTGCCAATAAGGGATGCGGTAAGGACCAGTGTTCTGTCGAGGAAGTGGAGATACAAATGGGCTACAATACCATGTCTAGTGTTCGATAATCAGTGTTTTAATGTTTCTTCCCAAGACCAAACTTTCATAAAAGACAAGCTTGTAAACATCATTGACCATGTACTCTTACTGCACAACGGTCCAATAGACAAGTTCAAGCTTTCTCACCGAGAACTTTTAGGCGTCGGTGACATTGATCGATGGATACTTGTATATCAAGGAGCTCTATCAAAGAATTTGTGCTAGAAATATGGAAGGGCCAGCATACTAGCCACCTTCTTGTTTATTTAGTTGCCAGAATTTAATTCATTTGGAGCTGTTTAATTGTTTGCGAAAACCACCATACATTCAAAGGTTTCAAGAATTGAGGAGTCTTGATCTGCAGCACGTTACCGTCACCCAAGATGTGTTCGAAAAGCTTATTCGAGCTGTCCTCTTGAGCGATTAACATTGATGAACTTTACTGGTGTCACTCATCTTATCATTGATGCACCTAATCTGTAATTCTTTGACATTGGTGGTATTTTTTATGATGTTAGCTTTCTGAATACATTCCATTTAGCTTTGGTTTCCATGGTTTGTATGTAAATATCGACAATGATGAGAACAATGCTCAAGATAATTCCAGTAAACTGCTCAGATTCTTTGTTCATCTGCCCATATCGAAGGCTGGACATTCAGAGTTACTTTTTGAAGGTAATGACTTAGCTAACATCATTGTATAGCACTAGTATCTTCTTGTTTTCTTTATCATTTGGACACTTAGATGCATTTTACAGCCTTTTATAGGAGTCCGCAAACATAAAGTTTAAAGAAACAGTTTTACATGTTTTTCTTTACTGTAAATTGGTTATTGAATACTGATATACTTGTCCGAGTCCTCTAGAATGTGCTTGTGCCACACTAATTTATCCATCGGAGATACTAGTTATATTGTTTCCCCTTTTTCTGCTTCAGTATTGGCTATGGGATATGTGCTGAGCAGGTTGCCTAACCCATGTTGATCTGAATCATCTATCGATTCGTATAGATTTTGATGATTTGGAGGAAAATACTGCTGCTCTATGCCTCCTAAGAAGTTGTCCGAATCTCCAAGAGCTGGAAATGTTTGGTGAGTTCTATTTTTCTTTAATCTTTTAGATTTATGGTGATGTAAATAGTAAGATCTCCGGCTTTTTATCACATTATTGTTTTTTACCAATACTGCTAATCTAAAAAGGTTATCCATGTAATAGTTATTGATTTCGGAGGTCAATTAGTGGTTTTAGCGGATTAGAAATGTCTGATGTTCTATGTAGGCTCAACCTGAGGAACAAACTTCCATAGAAAGATCCACTAACTTTGGGAAGATGATCATTGGAGCTCATTGTTTGCGCATCTGAGAATGTTAAAAGTGTCTGGCATCTCCGGTGTTAAATCAGATGGATTTCATCAAGTTCCTGCTATCGAATTCACCAGTGCTCGAGCAGTTAACTGTTAAGCCTGCTTCGCAAGAAGGCGAATCGGAGTTATTGAAGGAATTGCTTTGGTTCCGGCGGGCCGCGATATATGCAGAAATCATTTATTGGACTCATGATAATCGTGGCCGCCATTGCTGAAAGTTCAGAACTTCAGGAAAATGGCATCCATTGGTAGGTTTGCTTATTCACTTGTTACGGGAGCGCCCTTAAATTTTAATTCATACACCAGATTTGGTAATTGCTTGTTCTATCTAAGGGCTTGTGTGGGGGGGGGGGGGGGTACATGTTGTTTTTTCATGTACAAATGTTGCAGATTAGAATTTGAATGCATATATATTTTATTTAGTTTGGTAGTCTTTAAAGCATGAACCAACGTTTCCAGTCCATTACCACACATTTTACAAGCCCTGTCCTCTAACCCAGTTCATTGCACCACTCAATCATGTAGGTACCGAATTTATTTGTTTTACTTTTTTCTTTCTAATAATCTGTGGCATATCCTAGTAGTGACCCTAATTAACTCTTCTCAGGCCCCCCAAAATATTCACAATCTTTTATCGGTGCATCTCATTTGTATTTATACTAAAATTCACCATGGATTCTCGAAGTTGATTTTTTGTCCCCAGCAAAGCGTACTCTCGCCCCATATCTTTGAGTTCATAACTCCGGCCTCCGGATTCTTAATAAAAATCAAACTAGCATATGCATATAAAAGGCATTCACCCTAAAAACGACCTTTTATTAGAATTATTTTTCAAACTCTTCAAATGATGGAAAAATTCATGTGCAAATCAAGATATTATCGTTTTAGAACTAACACGGAGGGAGGGAGGCAGACAAAATATTGAGATTAAAAATAATATATAGTCATAAATCGAAAGATGGAGTAAAAGTTATTAAAGTATAAAAACTTTAGAGATTAACCGTAAAGGAATAAGATCCTAATTAAAGCATCAATATTAAAATTGCAAATCATCTAAACTTGTAAGTTATACAAGAATTGATCTTTAGCAACATATGTTGAAATTTAAGGATACAAAATCAACAAGAAAATGAGAAGACGAAATCTAGGAAATTAAAGTTGAATAATTTGCAAATAAATTTAACTAAAATCCTTAATTCTACCAAGAGAAAAAGGGGAAAGGAGAGCTTCTAGTTTTATCCTAATAAATGATAGCATTGTAGAATAGAAAGAGAGAAATTTAAAAGTGATGAATATAATGAAAAAATAGATGTCAGGGAGAAGAAATATATCTCTCAGTTGAAATTTTATGGGGTGACATCAACGAAAAAAATTTTGAAGCTTAAACTTAGATTCGTAGTTGTTCCAAAGATTTCATTCAAATGAAAAGAGAGAATAAGAGGAGAGTTTTACGGTGACGACTTTAGTTCGTTATACAGGTCATCAGAACGATGAATGATGTCATTTTAATGTTAAAGACGACTAAAAATTCGAGGACAAAAAAGATGTTTTGTGAGGAGAAAAAAATCCTACCTTCAAAATAAATGATATTTTGAGAGAAACACGATGAAAATTAAAATTTAGAGTTTAAATTATATTTAACATAGAGTAGAAGGATAAAATTAAAAATTAATCCTTTTGATTAATCATCAAAATATAATAAATCAATAATATAAGTGACTGAAATGTAATTATTTTAAAGTTAGTTACCAAATAAGACAGAATGAAAAAAATGATCTTATGGTAATTTGCCATTTTCATTTTAAAAAACCCGGTTTTTCCTTCGTTTTTGTTGGTCCTTGTCAGTTAACTGTTGATGGCAGTTTTTTTTTTTAATATTTCGTCTCTCTTTGAGATTGGGTACCAGGGAGGGAAAGCTCGCATAGGAAGGATAAGGTCGAAGCAAAATCAAAATGGCGAAATCGAGTGCTGATGATGAGGAGCTAAGGCGAGCTTGCGAAGCTGCTGCAATCGTAGGCTCAAAGGAGAAGATCGTGATATCGATTCGCGTCGCTGAAAGCCGCTGGAAATAGGGCAACTCTGGGAAATTCGCCCACCACATGGCTAAAACCGAGAATCCTTGATCTCTGCTGCACGTCTTTTCCATAATCTGACAAGTATTTCTCTATCTCAATGCAAATTTTGTGATTTTTTTCATTAAAATGTCTTCGAAGATTGAACTATTGGACTAAATAAGATAGTAAAATTGTGCATAACTGATAGGACAATTCAAATTCAAGGAATATAAACTATGCTTTGTAGAGGTTTTGCATTTAATAATATGATTGCATTTGAAGTAGCTTCTTTTCCTTATGGTCCATTTCGGGGTTCTTGTTTGGAGTAATCTTGGATCTTGAAGCTTGTTTTTCTTTACAGAAGCCGCATGCTAGTAAATATGAAGTATTTAAACCTTTTTTCTCCCTTAGAGAAGGTGCAGGTTCTCTGGTTCTTATGCGAGAACTATGGTTTGTGCAGTGATATCAAAAGGTCATAAAACTGAAGCTTTTCTACGAGTATTGAAGTATTCTAGTGGGGGAGTTATTGAGGTAATTCTCTTATTGAAATATTTAGCTTGTCTAGGGCAGAGTTAGAAAATTTAAATTACAGAATCAGAAATTTTGTAAGTGAAAATGGACAAATCATGGGTGTCAATTTTCTTCAAAAGGTGCCAATTATTTTTAAAATGGGTTCAATATTCTTTTAAAATAATATAATTTTTTTTAACTTTTCAGTAATATAAAATTTATTTAAAAAATTCTAAAAGTATTTTGTTTTGGCCGCCCATGCCTGGGTCCTTGAGTTCTAAGATTTGAGTAAATTTTGTGTGGGGTTTTTAGTTAGTTTTAGTTTGAGTTGGCTCAATTGTTGAGTCAGTTAAACAATTATGTACCTGTAATGATCGATTATATTTGTAGGTGTTTCTCCAGTTGAAAGTTGTAATATAAAAAATTATATTTTCTGGCAATGCGTGTTAGGACAAACAAGAAATAAGGCAGAACGATTATCCAATGAGTTTATGGCTCCTTGTTGAGTAAGGCTTTATGGTTACTACGTGTAGCTTACTATAGCTCAACAGTGGTCATCGCATGGTAGTGTTTGGCTTACCTGTAATTGGTTTTGTTTATTGTTCATGCAAATCATATCTTTCCATTTTCTACTGAAGTTTGCTACGGATAAAAAGTAATGAATAAATAAATAGAAACAAAAGCTAGCCATTTGTCAACCTCTTCCTGCGAAACACAGAATAATTTATACCATCACTTTTAGCATTACTGAAAAGAGAATATTTCTAGTATAAATAGAAAGCAAAATTCATTAGCTTAAAGCCAAGGGTCTCAAGTCTTAACTAGCTTGTAGTTTAGTTATATTGATTTTAAAATCTATTGACGTATGAACCATTTACATTTTGCAGCCTTCTAAATTGTACAAGCTGAAGCATCTTTCAAGGGTGGAGGTTATAACTAATGATCCCTACTTTTACATTGTACTTTTTGTTATTTGAAGAAAACATGTTTGAAAGCTGTATGTTTTTTTTTATCTTTGTAAATTCAGTAGGCCAAGGCAAACATTGCTTAGCTCTTATGTTAATTAAGCAATTGAGCAGAAGTTGAAGCTATTTATATCTTAAACTTATTTTCCGTTCCTCCCTGCATGATATTTTTCTTGAGTTCTTTTTTGATTTTCCCCTTCAGCTTCTTACGAAATTTCTTACAGGGATTTGATAACCTCAGAAATCAGAACGTGCTCCACCTCAGTGGACCATGCGCAACATTATGACAGGTAAATATAAATAGCTCTGAACTGAAGGTATCGACTCTTTTATGTCTGGGCTGCTTTCGTTCCCCTTTTATGGTCCTTTCCTTTTGGCATGGAAAAAAGCTAATTCTTATCTCTCATTTTTTACAACAGGATGTTGTTGCTTATAGTTATTGATTTGGCTATGTCCTTGCTCAAATATTTTGTAGGAACCGCATTTTTATACATCGTAAATGTCTGCAAAGAGACACTGGTAGTCTTCCCAAAGTTGTTGGTATAGATGTCGTGGAGTGGCTATTTGGGCTAATGTGAGTGCATGACTTTATTAAGCACTGAATATTTTTCTATTCAATTGTAGAATACATTGAAAAACTCTCTAAAGCTGTACCTATCTAGTGTATAACATAATCTTGTAGTTGCTTCTGCCTAGTGTTGAAATTTAAGGATGTTCCCTGAGTATAAAATATCATATTGTTGAGTTCTGATTTGAAGCAGATTTAATTTCCCTAAATTCAAGAAATCTTTTTTCATTAGTTTTATCTAAAAATTTATTTACTCTTCTTATCTTTGATTTTATATATATCTAGGAAAATAAACCTCAGTTACTATCAAATGAATCAGCAAGATGACCATGGCCCAGTTACTGCTACAGTAACAGAAAGCACTTGAAGGTGACTGTTGAAAAGGAACTTGCCTCTCAAGCTGAGGAAGAGGACATGGAGGCTCTTTTGAGCACGTATGTATTTCCTCTATTCTTTCCTAAGGTTCTTCAGTGAAGGCAAACTATGATCAAGTGCAATTATCCTTCAGAGTTTGGAATGCTAATGCAATTGACAAAGTAGACATGAGGTGAAACATTCATGCAGTCTAGTTTTTTTTCAAAGATGGTTGGATCCAAGCTAGACATAATTCTATTCCCCTTTTTTTTTCTTTTTTTCCTTTCTTTTGGTGGCATGTGCGTGGTGGTTGGGGGGGGGAGGTCCTTATCCAACAGTAATCTGTCATTATTTTGGAAACAGAGCCAAAGATGTTTGAAGATGTGGATTGATTCTTGTAGTGGCCATTTTTCCATGGCAGTCTATGGTTCCTGGTTTCTAAACCAATGTACTGTTTTTTATGTTTGGTCACTAAATGTGGAAGCCCTTAATTCTATCCTATTTGTCACAACATGGTAAACAGTTATATCATGGGCATTGGTGAGGCTGAGGAATTTTCTGATAGATTGAAACGAGAGCTTCTTGCCCTGGAAGCAGCAAATGTGCATGCCATTGTGGAAAGTGAATCTCTAGTAGAAGAGGTATTTTATTATATTTTTGTTTTTGAGTTTTTTTTCCTCATATTGGCTATTTCCAAATCTCCCTGGCATCATGTTGGAACTATGAAGAATCGACGGTCTCCGTTGTTCCATGCTGTATGCTCTCTTAGTCCAATCCCATACCCATATGCATTAGGTATCAAACAGGCTTATCACTGTTCTCTGGAGTCTTCTTAACTCCCATTTCGGAAATACTCAGTTCTCCATTTTCTTGACCTTGACTTCTAGCCATTTTCTATGATAGCTTCTTATTTTGTTTGACTATTCCTAAATAGTTTCAATGACTGTGTTGATGTGCTCGAGGAAATAGTGTTTATTTTCCCTCTTTCCTTATCGCTTTAATGATTTCTTTGTGTTCAGAACATTTTTCGTGTTCAATAACAATTCATTATTAATCTTGGTACTGCTTTTATTCACTTCTATCAATCCTATCACAAAGTTAATTGTTCTTTTCTTTGGTCTTTTAGGTATTATAAGGGCTTGAGGCAGCAACTCATTGTGTTAATGAGATGGGTGAATGGTTAGGCATGCCCAATGTTAAATTACAACATATAAGAGAAGATATTGAGTCGGTATGGACCTTTAGTAGATAGACTTAAAATGTAGGGTTCTCTTTTGCTTACTCTGTTACTGTTCCTACCATTATGTCAGATCCTTACACTGACTTAACTTTGTTACACTTCCTCTACAGCTTGTCTGAAACAAAGATAGTTCTAACTTCCTATCTATTGCATCATTTATTTGCTTCTAGTCTGCTGCAATTTTTTTTGCCCAAAGTATATAATTTGAAGATAGAAACTGTATATTCTTGACTTCAACATCTGAACTCTTCTTATGCTGGTTGTAATTCTTTTTCACAATATACAGATAGAAACACGAACAAGAAGTTACAGATACTATCTGTAAATGATAAAGCACTCATTGAAGAACTTGATAAGCTTCTTGAAAGAATGCATGTCCCTGCTGAGGTATGTTATCCATCACTATGTTTTTGTTTAGACTTAGCCAAGGTATTTCACTGTATTTTCTCCTAACAATTTTCTTTTTGATTTAGTATCCAGCTAGTGGGGATGGATTATTTTCGGTCAAATCTTGCAGGAATGCGCTCGGGAAGGAAGTTGGGAATAATGATTTGTGGTCAAAGGGGGTGTGGTTGGGACTATCCCCACCAAGGGTTGAAGCTTTCTTTGGCAGTTAGCCGTCAAAAGTGGGAGTAAAAGTGGAGTTGGTTAACAGAGGAATGTCCCTAGGTGAAGATATCCTTTGCCCATTTTGTAAGAAGCATGAGGAATCAGTGCAGCATTTGTTATTACGTGTAATGTAGTTTGGGAATTATGGAATAAGGTAGTAAGCTTTTGGGATTTATATGTAGTTTTACCAAAGGACCTTCCTTTTTTACTTATATCGTGGGGGAATTTGAGGGTGAATTCATGATTTGAAGTTTATCCCAGGAGTCATTTTTGGTCTATTTGGAAAGCAAGGAATGAGATTGTGTTTGAAGGATTATCTCTTGATAGGCTTTCTCTGTTTTTCATTGTAAGATTTAGGTTATCTAAGTGGTTTAAAGCCAAGTATCCCAAAATTCCTATACAGGAGGATTTGCTCATTGGGGATCCTTCACTTGCAGATGGAATTTCGGTTTCTGAATCGAAAGATTGCTCTGTGCTTTGCTGGCTACACCCCCCTGTTGATTTTTTGAAGATGAACGTCGATGGAGCTGTAAGGTTAAGTGACTCGATTGGAGGTATTGGAGGTATCCTAAGGGATTGGAATAGTTGCACTCTTTTGACTTTTTCAGAGAAGATCGGTCAAGGTTCCCCACCAGTTGCTGAGTTAAAGGCTATTAAAAGAGGCATTGAAATCTTTTGGCATCACGATGGTTTTCTGTCACTAGGTTGATTGTTGAGAGTGATTGCAAATCAGCAGTGGAGTGGGTTCACTTTCCGGCTTTGGCACCTGTTTTCTTATTGCCTCTAGTTAAAGAAATTCTATCACTCTTCTCTGAAAAGGTGTTGTTAATTAGGTTGATTCCAAGGGCTTGTAATGGGGAGGCAGATAGTTTAGCAAAGATGGGGATTGGTTGATTGATAGACTATAGTTGCTTGTTATTTTCCTTCCCAGTTAGTAGGTTTTTCAAGTAGGTGGAGTTATTAAGTTTTATGTCAGGAGTTCTGGTGTAATTGTTAAGTTTTATGTAATTTTGGTTCAACAATAAAACGAGGCACTCTTTTCCTCCCTCCAATAGTGGATCCTTTCTATTGGGAAAGGGCTATCTAGAGGGAGTTTTTAATGAGGCCGTCTATTCCTATAAAAAAAAGTATGCAGCATGTTTGACAGGATGCCGGTTTGATGAGGCTCACATGACTCAAAATCTTGAAGCATGTGAGTGGTAAATGGAGCTTTACGTGGCCTTGATGTACCTAACTTGGATTCTACTTATGCAAATATGCGAGCTGAATGGACTCCCCTCTCATTTCCCCAGTTTCTACGGTTTTATGGTTAGGCAAATTAACCAATTGGTTGTGGTATATGTCTAACTTAACGCATGCTGGTCACTTGGATGTTTACATAACCTTGGATTTTTGTGGAATTTTTACTTCCAATAACTTTGCAATGAACTATACTGCCCTTGGATCTGATATATATGGTAATTGAAGAATAAAAATAACTCTTTGTGGTGCCTTCATTTTAGGTTAAAGAGAAGCAGGCCGAACTTGAAAATCTGAAAACCACATTTCTCTGGAGAGCTTCTGCGTTCTTGAAAAATTACTTTGCCAGTTTGGTGGATTCTATGATGAGTGACAAAAGCAATTTCTCTCGGGTATTTCCTTCATGTTATTTCATCTTGAATCTTGATGTTGCAAGGATTCCTAATGTTGTTAACCTGCTTGAATTAATCAGCGGGGACAGTTGAAGCAACCTGATCATGCTGATTGCGATATAAATGCAGGGCATATACTCGCCTTCTGCAACAGTTAAAGGTCAAATTGCTGTTCAACTCTGAAATCTGTAAAATATCACATCTTGATTTTGCTGATATTTTGTTTGTTCCTGCTCATTCTCAGAGTCTTGATAAAAGTTGCTTAGGCCCTTTGAGGAAGGCTTATTGTTGTTCCTTCAACTTACTTCTGCGTTGAGAGGTTTGTGAATGCAAAACAAAGCATTTAATTGTCTACAAAAGAAATGCATTTTGATTTGACCTTTCTTACGGTTACAGTGCTTGATAAACGGTTAAAATCCTGTTTAGGTTCGTGAATTGCCAACGAACTTCGTGCTAGTACAAAAGCATCAAGGGTTCCAACTACCTGGCTGGAAGGTTCGACAAGTGGCAGTCGAAGTGGGAATAGTACAGAAACTTCTGCACTCTCTGATGCATATGCTAAAGTGTTGATGATTTTCATTCCGTTGCTTGTA